TCATTTTTTATGTTTCTAATTTTGGTAAAACTATTATTACAAAAGAACAAATAGTTTTAGTTTTGCTTAATAAATTAGTAATATTATTGTAGAAATGTTAAATTTTTATAATTATTTATACATTTCGTTTCTTCTTATTTGTTATTTACGAAAAAATATGATTGGAACCAAATTGGTTTCTACGATTCTTCTAGAGAGGTTAACTCCAATCCTTTTACTGTTAAAATTTCGACTCTTCAGAATATGTAGATAGCTTAGAAAGGTCAGGCCGAAAGTAGGCCTGACAAATTTTGACTTGGAAACTGATGTATTGCTCGATTTAAATAAGATTAATTTTAGAACTTTGAAAACAGCTAACTGTTAAGACTATTAAACTTTGACAATTGTTACGTGTTTCTCCCGCGGTACACTGTGGGATATAAATAGCAGTGATACTGAAAGTGTCATGAATATTTGTATTCCAACAATTGCAATAAGGACGATTAACGTTACGTATTTTCAGCGAAGGTGTTCCTTTTCTTTCTCGAGTGACTTACGTTTCGTGCCGCATGAAATTTGTATAGGATAGAGTTGCGTTGCATTGACCTCGCGTTACGCTCAAACAGAGCAAAACCAAGCAAGCATCTGACGAATAATGCACCCTTTCCTTTCTCAACCAGCTTTTTGCATTTTCTCAAGATGGACATACCGTCGGTGTGCTCCAATAAACAGCTCGAGACGAATAGCGATGGCAGATGTGTACCGAATTGATTTAACGTATCGAGTTTCTCCAGCTTTGTTATGAACAAAAGATATTTGAACTAGATATTCGCTGAACTTTAGTTAAAGACGGTGCTTTCGAAATAATGTAAAGTAATATATTTCTATCAAAATTTTGTCCTAACCTTCTTCACTGTTATCCCGGTGCATACTTTGCAGCACTCCAATCTTTGAATCTTTGCAAGAAAAGTTTCTTTTGTGTAATATACAACATATCACAAGAAAGAGTTAAGAGATCTTAAGGAAGATGGCAAGCCTTCTAAGCTCATTCGCATCCAACGCTATTTGGATATTCGATTATCCGGATAATGGGTAAGTTATGGATAACATTGGCCTCAATAACATTGGGATAGTTCCTTTATTCGATCTCAAGAATTTATGGCTGATGCACTATGATTGTTTCTGTGAGCTCTTTTCATTAATAAAATTGTTGTCTAAACTGGTCTTTAAAAATTGGGCGATTTTGTTTTTTGGATATAATGAAGATCTTAAGAAAGCAGAAGTGAACGTTATATTACTGGCTGACAACTACTTACAATTTTTCATTCTATAACACTGTAATTTCCTTTGTTTAGTTATCAGCTAAGTGATATGATAAGTCGAGACAAAAATGATGCCTCGCTTACATTGAGAGAAGAAAATAATTGATCTAACTAGATTTATAGTTATTTTTGGCCTCAACCATATTTTTTGGTTGTTCTAACACGCTAATAGTAGTAGTAACATGAATATAAAGTTATTATTAATATTATAGTAGAATTTAATAAAAAATAGTTTATTGTGGTAACATTTACTATAAAAATTATATTCCTAACTATAATCTTTTTATTATACGTCAAAATTCAGGACGACTGGTCATTCTACCTGCTAAAATTTGTATTGGGGTTAAAATTTTGACCTCCGAGTTTTCGACAGTTTTCAAGTTACGCGGGATCGGTAACAGGAATAGTATATTATAGTAGAATTTAATAAAAAAATAGAATTTAATAAAAAATTTAATAAAAAAATATTCCTCGACCATAATTCATAGTAACCATTTTTTCTGCGATTATAGTTACGAATACCAAATATTTTTTCTCAGTGTAGGGTTCTTTCGCACTGAGAGAAAAAAATAGTTGGGATAACTATAATCTCACTATATTTTATACTCTGTTTTGATCTCAAACATGAAGATATAGTAAAATGAACACAGATTTATAGTCACCATCTTATTACTCCATATATATAGTAAAGCATCTTTTGGGAATATAGTTACATATACCTATATTTGCCAAATATTCCAATTAGTTACATATACCTATATTTGCCAAATATTCCAATTGTATTGACTATATAAAATAGTCAATTTCTCTTACCATTCAATATTTGCTACCTTACTATTTTTTATTTCAAATAATTATAATTCTTGGTAAAAATTTTACACGGGTCAGTTATACTATGCTTATATTACAAATATCATGATAACATTTACTATAAAAATTATATTCCTAACTATAATCTTTTTACTATGCCATTATAGTTCTAAATATCATACATTTTTCTCTCAATGCGGGACGCCGCTGTAGAGAGCCAAAAATAAGGACGTCTCACAAAATTCAGGACGACTGGTCATCGTACCTGCTAAAATTTGTATTGGAGTTAAAATTTTGACTCGCGAGTTTTCGATAGTTTTCAAGTTACGCGGGATCGGTAACAGGTTGAACAGATTTTAGGAAATCAAGTCAAGCCCGTTGCGAAATGAACGCTTCTCTCGCGCGTGTAAAGTCAATCTCGTTTGCATTATTTCAAAATGCCCGCGTACAAAAAAGAAATTCTTGTCATCCGCGGACTCATGTGGTTAGAAGCGTGAAGAGATTTCCCCCGCGTATCACGTCCCTGGACGCTGTACCGGGACGCGTTAACACGTCGGACAAATAACAATGTGAGAACCTTGAGAGCGCAATGGTGTAAGGCGTCGAGTGTAAAACGTTCGCATAATGTTATATGGCATTACATAATGATCCGTAATGCGAATGCAATGCTGTGTCCGTCGCGTTCGGAACCGGGTGAAAGATCAGGATCTTCTAGAAAAAGACGGGAAGATACGCACGCATGCGTGCTTGCGTGCTTGCGCGCATGCGTGCGTGCGTGAGCGCGTAATGTTTAATCGCAGAAAACGGCCACTTTAATCGCGTGTCAGTCAAGGTAACAGAAGATTGCGTGGTCGATTTATCGTATTAGCCGTTTATCGCGCGTTGCAACCGGTCTCAAAATATCAACAATTATTACACGATTGCGCGGTTCTAATAAGGAAAGCAATTCCATCTAATCACTCCGCACGTTTGACGATTATTGATAGTCTGTTTCCCATGCGTCGCGACGGTGTTACAACAATCTCGCGTTAAGTAAACAGCTTTTTATCTAAACGTAATCAACAACGTGCCATCGTGAAACGCGCGAAGAGACTCGGTGAAAAGACTCGAGGCATGGAAACATATGGAGGCGTCCTTTATCGATTTTGATAAATTTTGGATAGTCGAAAAGAAGCTAAAAATGAGAAAGATGTATCTTTTTCGGTATACTATTTTTTTTTGCAGTAATCGAAGGAAAATCGGTAAAATTGAACGAATATAATTGTAAACAAATATCGAGAGCGAGAATTGTATAAAGATATGTTTCAGAGAAAAATTTTATGTAACTGGTTGTATGAAAATATATTTTAAAAAGAAAATCAAATAACAAAATCAAATAACAAAATAGTATTCGTCGTGTTCTTTATAAATGTATATTTGGATTTTTCAAATATATCATTTTTAACTTTTTAAATAATATGCTTGAGAAAGTTTCATGAAAAAATATTAAATTCTTTTTATTTTTTCTTATACCTTGTATTTTTTTTAACTCATAGCAAGCACAAATTACATATATTTTGTATTCTGTTTTTAAAAATTTTCCAAAGAAAATGACAATAAAGAAAAAAGAGATCTAGATATACTTATTTAAAAGTAAAAAAGAAACCTTGAGGGGAATTGCGCAGTCATTTTAACAACTGAAGAAGTTAATATTAAAAGGTTAATCCTCAAATTTCATATGGTGTTTTCAAAAATTTTAAGCGCAACATTACAAAATATATCGAGAGTGTCATGTTCAAAAAATGTTCTTATATACTTCAAAATACTGAAAAGCCTCTCTTCGCAAAAATATTCGACGCGATAAATTGTTGGTCGCGTTATCGTATTCACCGCACAAGTTTGCATTATAAGTTCGCGCGTGTGGTTTTCTCAAATACTTTTTAGAAATATAAAAAGAAAAAAATACATGCCAGCGAACAAAACAAAGAAGATAAATGCGACAACTTGCATTTCCTATCACAGTTACGTGCAATAAACGTAAGCGTAGAGATAAAAAAAAAGTATTGTCGTAAAAGCGCGGCCGCAATCGCGTCGTTTAAGCGATACGATAACAAGAAAGCACTAGAGAAGAAAGCAGACACGTGTACGATATACTTACGAGTGACCGTGAATGAATGCGACGCGGACTCGTGAATTGTGAGAATCTCTCTCCTTCTCTCTCTCTCTGGCCGGTTACGAACAGCCGCCGCATAATTGAATCCTATTTCGCCGATCATTCCTGATTCTTATCTCATACACGTTCCACATCTATTAAGATTACACGTGTATGTGCGCCTCTGCGCGCGCGCATGTATACGCGTGTGTGTGTGCGCGCATGCGGTTATACTTTCTCATAGATGCGGTATATCCGTCACATTCAATTACCCTCCGTCCCCCGCGTCGTATACCAGGTATTCTGCATATTCTAATGATTGCTCAGCAAACGAGAAAAATCACGGGAGGGACAATTTTATTGTATATACATATAATCCCGATAATTGCGACGGTACACCGAGTCAACGAGTGTCGACATTTGTTTTCGCCTGCCTCCTCTCATCCTCGTCACTTAGATGCACCAACTCCGACGGCCGATGCTGCGATTGCGTCAATGCTGTTTCAACCATTTCCATCGGTGCACGAACTGTTGTTTCTGAAAGACGGCCTCTTATGCAACTACGTTCGTTCTGTTGTTTCTTTTTTCTTTTTTTTTCCTATTTTCTTTCCTGTCCGCCAAGTGCGTGCACACGCACGTATTCTGCTTTGGAAAGTCGACGAGGCCCGTTATCTGACTACGTACGTGGAAAGGAGGCCTTATCGTACGCCGTCAACGTGCAGATTCGTCATGATCCGTGCTCCGTCAGCGCGCGCTTGTCGAGCGTTTCGCGTCGAAAATTCTCGCGATCGCGCATTCAATTCGCCTTTCACTGAATCACGTCGATATAAGGAAACGTGCGTCGGTGTGATTATACCCAATATCATTACGTATCAACATAATTAATGAGTTATTAATTATTATAATCCGGGAAGCCACTACAGTAGTGCATTAGAAAGGCCTCATCTTTGTTATTATTTCACCCTTTGACATGCACGAAAAATTTCTTGTTCAAGGGTTGTAAAAATTGCCCAACAAAATACCTGAATTTGTAAGGGCTGATAGCCCTTACAAGCATTAGTAGTGTGCCAGTCAGTCGGACTGATTGGTCAATTAATCGTTGAAAAAAAACAACCGTAAAAAGAAAGGAAAAAAAGTTTGAGGTTATCCCTTTCTCTGAAGGGATGAATTGTGGAATATTCTACTTCATATATCAACTCTATTCGTCAACTTAAGAAGCTTGTTCACTGCGACTACAACGACTTTTAATATTAGCTTTAGTAGTTTTATTCAATAATAACAGTCTTAAAAGCAGTTTTTAACGCACAAGAGAATCGTACTTTCGGAGTTGTTAATTTTTTATCGCATTATCGTTTATATTGTTTAAAACCGCTCGAAATATCAAATTGTCAACGCTTCTATTTTGAATATAACGAATAGAAATATATAGACAAATCTGGAAAGAGGAAGAAAGAAGGAGGAAGAGTGGGAGGGAGAGGAAAAGGCAAAGAAAATTTTGTTGCCTTTTGTGACGAATGGTCAGTATATTGGAATCCTTCTTTGAGGACGGTTGTATTCTTCAAAAAGCTTTTGTATGTGTAGTCAAGTGAAAAGTTGCCGTCGAGAAAAGCACGTTGAGTCTGCGATTCTGATCTCGATTTTATTTCGACGAACGGGAGTGTGCGCGCCGCGCTTACGATTGGACGTGTGTGCGTATGTGTTCTGTGAACTACTGTACGTGCAAGAAGGTTACAGCATGACATCACAGGAGCAGCCATTACTACACTTTAATACTTCGTTCTCCAAGATGGGAAGAGTAGTAACGCATTTTACTCCACTACAAAGAAAACGCTATTCGAGACATCTACATTTCAACGGGGGCGTATCGACAGTAACGTCAACGACGTCATCGTCGTTGCCATCGTCGACAGTAACGTCGAATGAGACCGGGCTGGACTTTTCATGCACACGTACGACTTTTCCGTGCGCGGAGCAACAACACTCCAAGGTAATTCCAAGGTAGAATCTGCCTAATACGCGATTAGCGGGCGAGTTCTTGTTGACTGCAGTAAGAGCCGCTCCGCGATAAGACGGACGCGTGTGTTGCATGTACATCGCGACATCTCCTCCTCTCTTCTTCCAATAAAACTGCATAACGATGTCAGTTTGCGTAACCGGCTCTTCACACGTTTCCAATTGTCTACGGCTCCAAACTGGGGCGTGAGGAAATTCTTGAGCGAAGGAGGCGCGATGATGTTTAATTGGCGAGAGAGGAGAAAATTATTGGCGCAAAAGTTGAAAATTATGCGCGTCGTGGAATTTCGAGCGTTCCGTCCGTGAGAATTTTTATAAAGGAACCGAGAAGAAAAACGCACGAACCTCGAAGGAAAGAGTAGAAATACTTGGGCTTAAAGTACACAGGAAGTTTCCAGGTAATGAGACGCCGAAACTGAATTACGCTGCTTTGAAACGTAAGAACTAAAGAGCAAGATTCTGCTTGTAACTTGCTGTAAAAAGTAAAGATAACATTTACGAATTTTAAGACGTATGCAGCAGTTCCTCTGTTTGTTCCGCGACACTTATATAATTCGCGAGCGCGCTAATAATTCCTTTTCGCGCAAATTGCCACGTATAATCGGCCAAAGCTCCGTGCATCGCGCAGTCTCGCTGAGTAAACCTCTTCTCTCACATTACGTTGCGAAAAGTTTCGCGCTTTTTCGCTAATTTTTGTTGCCAACGAGGTTGACTGCCTCCCGAACGTGCGTGCGCCGCGCGAAAGAGCCTTACAAAGAGACGCATTTGTCGACTTAATGCACACTCATTCGCTTCGCGAACGAGCTCGGGCATGCTGATATTTTGCAAACCGCGCAAATATGTGCATAAATAGATGTGCCCATCTTGTAACGATTACACGAGTAGCTCCGGCATACTATCCGGCCTGAGAACGGCCGTATCTTTCCATTTCGCGAGAGTAGAGCCGCAACGAGGTCGGATTATCTTCTTGGCGCGGAACGACTGTGATTCTTTCGAGTTCCTCCGCAAGGCTGGAAGCTAGGAATTTAATAAGAAAGCGTCGTAGAAACGCGAAGAATCCCTTGCTCAATTTTGCTCGGCGTGTAACTTTCTTTCGCAAGATATCGGGATGGGTTCAAATGAAATTATCGAGTTGTCCGACAAGTTCGTACGTGGAAAACAAGACGTCGTTATTGTGTCAACGGCATTAGTCTAATCGGGATGAATTTTCTTGATTCAGTAACATTTGTGTCATTGACACGAATACGCTATGCTACTGTTTTATTATAATAACTGTATTTGTTTCAACAGCACAGTAGTGTTGAGAAGATTTTATTGAGCCGTTCATACGTCCACTTCCTCCGATCAAATAATTACTTATTTTGATTGAGTATGCAATTAATAATCTTTCAATATGTAATTGAATAAATGCATTTCATTGAACCAAATCGGCTGTCAGTTTTATTGTACGAAGTATAAAATTGACACAACCCAACAATGTAACCAATTCTGTTGAGATTAATACGAATGTAACATTTTTTGCATTCAACAAAGGAACGGTAGAAGACTTTTTTTATCTAATATATACAACGGTAGATAACACCATTATAGCTCATCTACTATATCGTGCGTGATTATTCACTATTTCTTCTTTAATTAATATCTCGACTATTATTGCGAATATCATAAAATGGTAAAACTTTTGTGTTCACCTCAATCTGTTCTACGTTCCCATACTGAAAAAAAATTAGCTAATCTCACATCACTAGCCAAGGGTTAAATTAACAATAAAAGTACAAACAATATATTTTGTATTAAAATTAAATCATTTTATTAAACAATACTAACAAAAAATTATATTACTATGTTACTTACAACACATATAGACAAAATGTAAGACGTTTATATCGATCTAAGAAGTGGTCTAAAACAGCACATCACTAGCCAAGGGTTAAATTAACAATAAAAGTACAAACAATATATTTTGTATTAAAATTAAATCATTTTATTAAACAATCATTTTATTAAACAAAAAATTATATTACTATGTTACTTACAACACATATAGACAAAATGTAAGACGTTTATATCGATCTAAGAAGTGGTCTAAAACAGCACATCACTAGCCAAGGGTTAAATTAACAATAAAAGTACAAACAATATATTTTGTATTAAAATTAAATCATTTTATTAAACAATCATTTTATTAAACAAAAAATTATATTACTATGTTACTTACAACACATATAGACAAAATGTAAGACGTTTATATCGATCTAAGAAGTGGTGTAGTGTCTAAAACAGCAGACTCATAGTCCAGAGGTATCTCTCAGAGTATGTTCAAGTTCGAGCCCCACCAGTACTAGTGAGAATGTTTAAATATGATGTAATATTGGAATCAAGTAATCTAAAATGTTCAAGGTAAGATCAAGTAATCTAAAATGTTCAAGGTAAGATCAGCAAATACTGTGACATACGAATAGTTTCTGTTAAAAAAAAGTAATACATATCATATATAAAAAAATTTATAAGTATACATCTGTTGTTCCCACAAGTAATTCAAAATGAATACTTTACGAAATTGTAATAACTATTTTCTTATTCATACGGCAAGCATCAATATTTTATTCAAATATTAATATACTTCAGTAAAATGTATGTATGTTTTGTATATTACATAATATATTTAATCAAATAGATAATTATTTAATCAAATAAAATATATTTTTGTTTCATATAAGTAGATGTACTGCAACTTTATTTGCATGAATAATTCATTGAATAACATTTCTTTCTCAGTACATAAAAATTGCAAAGGAGAGTTTGGGACACACTGTATAAAATATGTTTATTAAAGTTCAATGACGGTACATTATTTTTTCAATACAAATTTCATAAAATCAAAGACGAATGCAGTTGAATAAATTGTTTATGCTTGTGGCAGCTCGTGCTATATTGACGTTTAATTGAATCGATGCATTTTTTATTTTTTCAACAACAGTTCTTTTCTCCCCCTCAGTTCTGTAACTATAAAAATATTGACTTTGAATTTTTTGCGAAAGTCTACTTATCGGACAACCCAATATTTTGTGGTCGCTTGGCAAAATCTGACTCGAAAAGCTCGACTCTTAATTATTCTTCATGCCAACCTTCTCAGTACTTGCGGAAATCTCACCGAATCCAGCCGGCTGTTTTCTAGCGTGTGACGCGTAAATAAGAATCTATCAATGTTAATGACGCGTGCACACGCCCGTGCAACCTCGTTCCTATTTTAGAATCCGCTCGTATCTTTCCGCGAAGAGGTGTTACCGCCTTTCATTAAACGTCGCGCAGCAAAAAGCACCACGCTCTAGACTGCTCGAGAATCCTTTCCTCTGTCCTGCCTAGCCGGCTTATCGATCCGATATGTGAGCGCGAGCGTGCGTTTTTCTCCTCCTACCAGCCGCACGTCTAATGAAACCGATCGTAAACGTTATGCTAAGCGCAGCATAATCCATCGACGTATTTCCGCAGTAGAGACTTTACAAGAAAATAAAATTACATCGTGCACAACGCAATAAATAGTATGTGATATAGAAAACTATCACCCGACGGCAGTTCTCGTGACAATCTGCGATTTTTATTTTTGGACTAAACGTTTGACTGAAAGAATAATAAACTAATAAGATAAGGTGAGACGTCCACTAGAGCCAGCACTTTGCCATTTTTCAACACTCTTGCGCGGATTTCATCAAATATTATGATATATGGGAACTTACTAATTATTTATTAATTATTAATTAATTATCTATTTATTTTAATCCCCATATACCTTATTATCAGATAAAAAATTATTTTTATATTTACAAGTAAAATATTTGGTAAAATTTCTGTGACATTACATGTTTTTTTACTTGTGTCAAGTATATGTACTACTGTGTCCAAAAAGTAAGACCAGTTTTCAATTTAAATCGCGCGGATAAACCGCACATCATAAATATTTTTTTTCGAAGTTGGCAGCATTGTGACAGACATCTGTGACAAATTTCATGTCAAAACATTCATTACTTTTTGCTTTACGCTTGGTTTTGGTTTACGCTTGCTTTACGACGCTAAAAGTGCATTCGGCGATTTTTACAATGTCTAATTATATTGAGCAAAGAAGTTGCATTAAATTTTGTTTGCGGAATGAAATTTCGGATGCAGAAATGTTCAAATGATGCAAGATGTTGCAGAAAGCCTTCGGGGACCATGCTTTGTCGGAAAGGAATGTTTATAAGTGGTATAAACAGTTCAAAGGAGGTCGTGAAAGTGTTGAAGACGAAAAGCGTTCCGGACGACCATCAACCTCTACCGATGAACAACACGTCAAGAAAATCGAAGAGCTTGTGCTTGCTAATCGTCGAATGACTGTTAGAGACCTTGTGAAGCTATTCGCAAGAAGAGGCCAGAATTGTGGGCAGACAATTCTTGGTTTTTGCATCACGATAATGCACCTTCTCACACTGCACTCGTTCTTCGTGACTTTTTCGCCAAAAATTCGATCCATATCGTTCCACAACCACCATATTCGCCTGATTTAGCACCGTGTGACTTCTGGCTATTTCCGAAACTCAAAAGACCATTGCGGGGAAATCGTTTTGAGACGATAGAAAAGATACAACGTGAATCGCTACGCGTTCTGAAAGCCACCCCGGAAGGCGACTTTAATTCTTGTTTCAAGGACTAGAAAATACGTTGGCACAAGTGTATTGTGTCGGGAGGAGATTACTTTGAAGGCGACGAAATAGATTTAGAAGAATAAATATTTTTTGAAATAAATAAAAACTGGTCTTACTTTTTGGACACAGTAGTATTACTTTTATTAAGTCGAAATTTTCGTTAATATTTTACATATAAATTTACATATAAATTTATTAAAATTGTATTAAACTGATATGTTTAATACATAATTGTATTAAACTCATGTATTTAACTGATATGATATTAATGATATGCAGAAATATTTAAAAAATGGCCGAGAAATATCGTCATCCACATTAAGCGCGTTCGCTGGTGCAATTCGCGATATCCACTGTAGAATCCGCACGGTTTATCTGAAATCAAAAAGGCCAGAGGTTTTTAAAATATATGAATTTGTATTTTTTAAATGTGAGTTTTTTATTTTTCATTCTTTTAGAATATTTTTTGTGATAAATCTTAAAGAAATTGTTTTTAAAGAGAATTCATAATTTTTCCTCTCTAGTGATCTAATAGCATTGTCAGCACAACTGTCAATCGTTGTACAAACGTCACATATGTGTATCATGAGTATGTGTGTATGTATGAAGGAGGGAGAGACAGGGGAGCGAAAAAAGAGAGATACGAGAGCGTACGGCTAAAGAGAGAGAGCTCAACGTGTCTAACGCGCGCGCGACTTGTGAATGTGAGGTGTAACCTTGAAACTGGGCACCACCTCCACCTTCGTCACCTTCATCAACCGCACCACTACTAGTGCTCACGCGACGACGAGCAAACGGTCGACAGCCGGTAGCAACGCGACGGCGGTGGCAGCAGCAGCGACGGAAAGAACAGCGACGGGTATAGCAACGTGCAGCAACGAGTAGTAGAACAAGAGGAGAAAGGGCGGACGTGAGGGCAGCAGGAGGGAGGGACACGGTGTGTTGGCGGAATGAAAGAAAGAAAGATCCATCCCCACGCTGGCTCTCTATGAGGCCCTTTCCTTTTTCCGTGACTCTCCCTCTCTTCCTTCTCGCCCTCCTCCCTTCGTGTCCGGCTTCCAGCCCTGTTCGTTCGCTCGTTTGCTCATTCGTTCGCCCTTCCCTGTTTCTTTCTCTTTCTCTCTCTCTTTCTCTTATTCTCTCGCTCTCTCGCTTTCTCACTCGCACATACACGGGGAGCAAACCGGATTTGCAATAAAACGAATCCCATCTCGAAATGCGCGGGACCAACGAGAGGATCTAACTAACACGTTCAAACTGGATCTCGGTCTTTCTACTTCTCGCGCTCCGTGTTCTCTTTCTCCTTCCTCCTTTTCCCCTTCGCCCTGCGTTCACCACATCGTCGTCGTCATCGCCGTCGTCGTCGTACCGGCTCTTTCTTCATCTCCCTCTCTCCCGCCCTCTCTCTCTCATTCTCTCTCTTGACGTTCCTCGCTGCTTCTCCCTTTGCCTTTCGCGGCGGCCTCTCTTTCCCGGGCGATTCGCCGTCCCTCTCGCTCGTTTGCACGAGTGAAAGGGACGTGAAAAGAAGGGATGACTAAACCTGCGTCGCGCGCTGTGAGAAAGGTGCAAGTACGATCGTTGTTGACCACCTCGCGGAACGATGACAGTTAGAAAGGAGCGAAGGAAAGAGAGGGTGAGGAGGAAGGTAGAAAAATAATGTGGTATGGTGGAGGAGGAGGAGGAGGAGGCGAAAGGAGTGGGATTGGAAGCGGCATCGAGAGGAAGGGTGAGATTGTCTCACGGGAGGAAGATCGGGGTGTGAGCTGCTTCGTGATTTTCAAATGTTGTCCCTTACGTCACCGATCCCTAATTCCGAGACACGCTCGCGCTCGATCGTTACACCTGATCCGTGAAGAGACGAAGGAGGCGCCTGCATATATATCTTTCTTTTTCTTTTATCTGTCTCTCCCTTCTCTTTATTGACTGACTGACGAATTTTTGTTGCGAATGAAGTCGGTGAATGGGAAAGTACGTGCAATTGTAGTCGCGCCGTGAGTCATCGAATTAAGAGCGCTTGTTATAGTCACGGCTGATAAGGTAGCTGAAGATAATAGCGGAAAAGTTCGCGTGCCATTCGAACATTCGCCATTTCAAAAATTGCGATACCGTCCGACGGAACGCGGCGTTGATTCGATTTCATCATGCAACAAGCAAGCGACCGGCCGACTCTTAAGCAAATTGGCTTAAGCACAATTGTAGCTGAATTGTTTGCCCTTACCTAACTGGTGTTTTCTCCATATCGGGACGTTTAACCGCGCGCCATTGCGATATTTGAAGGCTCAAAATTCCGATCGTTATTTTGATAGCACTTTCAGAACTCGATATAAAAAAGGTAATAAACTGAGAAATAAATAACGTCGAGTAAATAAATGCGGATCGTGTAAAAGCTGGAAAAAGCGGACGGTCGCAGACGTGAGATCATGTCACATTTGAAAAATTCGCGTCTCGGAGGCTCGAAAGCGTAAACATGTCACGACAGAGCGAGAGGGGAAAGGGAGGGATGGGGCGGGGGAAAGAGCAAAGTGTTTAATTGCATGTGTGCCGAGGCAGAGGAGGACCTTGTGTGCGATTCTCATCTCTCTCTCTGTCTCTCTCTCTCTCTCTCTCTCTCTCTCTCTCTCTCTCTCTCTCTC